ATCACACACTCTTCCGATATTGAAAATCGCGACGCTGAATTAAAAAGAGTCACTAACCTGCTTGTAAACAATGGATATAAGACTTATTCTATTGAAAAGATTGTTAAAGGCAAATTACTATGTGCCTTACTAAACCTTCCTAGTACCAACAATCAAGATAACAACATCATAATGTATTAAAGAAATCACATGTCAACTGCATACAAACTAGATGAAGCTATTCTTAAACATATCGTCAATAAAAATGTCACACCAACCAACCCAAATAATAAAGTTAAACTCCGAATATATTACAACAATAAAAAGACGTCTCACCTAATACTGAAAAACAACTGTAGTCCTAGAGATAACTCTGTGCTAAGGCGTAATCACGTAATATATGAATTTAATTGCCCCTTTGACGGCTGTGCACGTCAACATGACTCATATATCGGGATTACTACTACCTCATTGACTAGAAGGCTTACAATGCATAAACAGAGTGGTGCTATCAAATCTCATCTGGACTCAACACACTCAATCACTATTAGCCGTGAAATCCTCGACAGTAACCCCAAAGTAATATACCAGAACAGCAACTACACGCATCTTAAAATTGCAGAAGCTGTCCTAATTGACATCAATAAACTAAAAATAAATATACAACAAAAAATGACAACCTCACTTCCAACCCGGCGCTTAACCAACAACGAAAACAAAGAAGTAATAAAAACTAGCATTGTAAATAGTGACAAAGAAGAATATGATGCTATCGATAAAGAAAAGGAGACCAAAGAAGATGACCAGCCAATAAAGAAACCTGACAACTAATTTCCATCTAAGTTCATTTTGACAAAGTCAATATTTCCATATATAAACAGCAGAAAGCACTGATGATGATTAATTCGGAATCGAAATATGGCCTTATTTGCAGCATGAATTCGGAAAATAAGTTTATTTTGAATTTTAATAAACTAAACGTTCACCAAAAAAAATTTAGTGAGAAAAATCGAAAAAACGAACTACAAACATATTAACGCCAAACTATCGGTAGAATTTATAGAATATTGTAAAAATTATGGTCTATTACCAACACACACACACAAACACACGCACAAAAAAATTAAAATTATAAAATTAAACACTTGTTTTTGAGAAGACGTAATTCTCGTTTCCTAGAAGCTTCTTCAATTATTTGGGCTGTAGAGTTGTTCAATGTGGTGGCAGACACCATTAAATTAGAAGGCAATGTCATTAAACGGGAGGCACTTAATTGCTGAACTGATCAAAACCATTACTAAATTAAAAACTTTAAACATTACAATCCAAAATTGATGCCAAAGTTAATAACCAAAGAAGTTTATTTTAAAACAAATTCGTAGTTATAACAAAATTTATATTTAAATTAATATTTTAAATTATAAAGATAATTAGCTAAAAAAGCCAAATGTTCAATATTAACAAAAGGAAAAAATATCCTTTTAAAATTTCACATATAGATATTACCGAAAAAATTAAAATCGGATTAAACTAGAATACCAGTTTCTCCATTTGATTGTACGAATTCAGCTGATAAATAAAACAACGTTTAATAAAAATTAAAATAACCAGGTATGAAGAAATGACCATCAGCTGAATGGCCATAAGGGTGAAAAGAAGTATGGTTAAGATGATTCGAAGTTCCTAAGTTATGTTCTAAATTAGTTGAAGTGGCAATTGAAGGATCTGATTTCAAGGCAGCCAACGTTGTTATACCGTGGAAAGACGTCTCACTACCGAGACCTGATTATCATTTCATCATAATTTAATATTAATACATTTCATTTCCAATGTAGGTCATAATAATTAATATAATAACTTATTTTAAATATATACTTATCCACTATGTACTATGTCACTATAATTTCATTTTGCACAAATTTTTTTCTACATTTACCATCAGGTTAAAATTAACCTGTCTCTTACTTTATTTATTCTCCAGTGACTATTTTTTAATTTCGGCATAGTTTCCTATTATTTTTCTTAATTATATCGAAATAATATTTATGTATATTATATATGTTCCTAATGCATCTATGACTTCCTATAGTTTCTTTTGCGTTGTTGTTCAGATACTTCTTTGCTTTTTTTATACCCTTTTGCGTTGTTGTTCAGATACTTCTTTGCTTTTTATACCCCAATGCTTAAATAAAATGATGATAATCAATCCGACATAGCAGGTTCAGAATACCCTTATAGACAACTAGTTGGAGCATTAATGTACCTGATGTTAGGTACAAGGCCAAGCATCGCGTACATCATTAGCCATTTATCTCGTTCCCTCGAGAACCCAACACCAGAAGATATAATAAAAATAAAACGAATGCTTAGATACTTAGCGGGAACAATCAATCAGAGCATTGTGTACAGATCAGACACTACTAAAGGAGTTTTACAGTGTTTCAGTGATTCAGACTTTTGATGTCGTAGAAAGACTGGACATTCAACCACAGGTATTGCAGTTATATATGCAGGAGGCATAATATCATGGATTAGACAATGACAGGCAGTAGTTGCAACATCTACAAGAGAGGCTGAGATCATCGTTGCGACAGAACCATTACAGGTAGATTTGAAAAATGTGTCATTTTTGCAAGTTGACAACTATTTTCTTGACTATTCCTCACCTTTTGATACTGTCGATCATGATCTTATATTAAACCTTTTTAATAGTTTTTTAACATCACTGATTTTTGTTTTTCTTAGTTTTCTTTTAATTTTCATGTTCGTTACTCTCAACTTCTTCTATATTCTATTCCGTTTCTATTGTTGTACCTCAAAACTCTATTCTCGGTCCTTTTTTTGTATACTCTATACCTCTGAATTACCCCGTATAATTAATTCTTTTTCTTTCAATAATCAACTTTATGCTATTTCTGTTTTCTCAATTTAATAATGTTGCTAAAACTTCTTACTTTATTTGCGTAAAATTAAAAAACTTGTGCTTGATGATTCTTCTCTTCAATTAATCGTTTCTTCGCTGGTTTTACCTATAATTGATTATTGTAACTATTTTTGGGCTTCCTGATTCTACTTTATAACCTTTAGGCCTTCAATTCTGCTCGTTTGGTTTCTCGTGCAACTGTTCTCTCACATTTCTAAATCTATTACATTGGCACCTTCTAAATAAAAAATTGTCTTTAAACAAATCTAACAATTTTAAGAAATATCTTTTTGACCTTTTATATAAATCTAAACGCTCTGGTCTTAGATCTTCTTCTCATTCTCACTATTTCATAATATCTGTTAAACACTCGTATGTTAAACTGCTTTCGCTTACTCTGGTCCGTTTCTATGTAATTTTTTACCTGTTGCTTTTACTTCTTTTAAATCACTTTCATTATTTAGGTTATTTAGGACTGGTCTCAATACTTTTCTATTTAGAAATTTTTTAGATGAATGTTGTTGAGTGAATGATTGGTTGTTAAATTGTTATATCAGAACCTTTTTAAAAATTATTTCGTTCTTTGTTTAAATGAATATTTGATTTTTTGTATGCTATTTTTCAATAATAATGATTTTTTATTCAGCGGTTTATTGTCTTTTTACTAGTTCAATTGATTGTTTAATTTTCCTACCGTTGTTTAATTGATTGCTTGATATGATTATACTTGTTTCAATGACTATTTTTGCTGTGTGTTTGGTCTATCATTTATATTTTGAGTATTTTTTGGATTGACTGATTATTTGTTAATAATAAATATGTTAATAATAAATTTGTTAAACTGATTTGGTGTTTGATTGACTATTTGATTACTGTTGTTTTTTATTAAATAATTGATTGCTTAAGTCAATTGATTGTTGTATTTTTTTCTATTATTGTTTATTTGAATGCCTGATGTCAATGTACTTGTTTGATTCATTTATTATATTTGCTATTTATTTGGTTTATTATGTATATTTTTAGTAATTTTTTTGATTGACCAATTATTTGATAATATAATTTTATTTAATAGGCGCTTGATTGATTATTGTTTTTTATTAGTTTATTGATTGATTGATTGATTGATTGATTGTTATATGGTTTATTTCGTTTTACTTTAGGCACAAAATTAAATTTTTGATTGGTTTCTTGGATTAGATAATTTTTTTGTTTGGTACATTATCTTACTATTTTATCGTTTCATTTCATTAGTTTAAGGTGCTTGTAATTTAAATGTTTTCAATAGTTTTGTTCATTAAATTTTTATGTATGCCTTTATTCTTTATTTTATATTATTTTATTTCGTTTTATTTTATGATATTTAATTTATTTAGTTTTATTTTTTACGTACTTCTTCACAAATGTACATTTTGCAGATTTTGAGCTGAGCTCATTACAAATTGAACTATATAAATTTGATTTATTAATTGAAACTGAAATGATATTAAAAAATGTATTACAAAATGAAGTGTTTTCTTATGACAACAAGCAATTGCATAAAATTACTTCTTATTCAAAATTAAATATTTTTATGACTCAAAAAATATTATTCCAGCAGCTTTTCTTCAAAAATAGAATCTTTTACAGCTGAATTCTTTATAGAAAAATTTTCATTTTATTTCGTTCCATTTCAACCCACCAACTTCATCTCAAAAGTAAACTCATCGGCTAACCCAACTCATGTAAACAGGATGTACCATTTTTTGCATTGTTGGTTTTAAAATAATATAATAAAAGCGTTAATTTATCTTTTCACAAAAGAAGCTGATTGACTAATAATTTTAAACACAAATATTTGATGAACACATCGAACATGTGTTAAAAACCGCAACTTAGGAAACAAGAAAAAAAGTTATTTATGTTTACATCTTAATACTTTAAAGAGTATTGAAAACCTGCGGTATCATCACTAGCATTGCTATCCTGTGTGAGATGTCCATCACTTGAATCTTCTTCTAATTTTTGTAAAGGAACCACAAAAGACTGAGGTTCTGTCACAAGGTTGTTATAAGTACACCTAAAAATTGCAAAAAGGAATAAAAAATTAAAAATTTACTTATTTACTTTTAAATCTATAGTGATGGAAACATGCAAAAACCATGAAAATTATAAGACCAACACAAAGAACTTCTTTTTTCAAATTTCTCTCTACACATCATTTTTCAACTCAGTACTCTGCCAATATACAGGTTTTAAATTTCACCTATCTCTTTGGAAAATGTCAAATGAAAAAAATTGTACCCCAAGCCTTGTTAAATCTGTCCTAACCCTGGATCACGTTTTGAAACCAATTCAAATAAGAGTCAGTTTATCAACTGAATGAGTAACCAACAAGTAAACAAACTGGTAGGTCTGGATTAATCTTTAATCATTAATCAAATAATCACGCACATACAACTTTATTAACTTTCTAGACAAGTGTTCGAGATACTGACAAACAAAATGAAACAAAACTGTGATCTGAGATAATTCCACTAGGATATATTTTAACATCAGTAGCAAGCATATTGATCACTGGCACGGCTAAATCCAACGTTTCACCAAGTACATGTGTAGAGGTTCATGTGTGTTTATATGAGGTCATTTATCACACTTTGAATTGAAAAAAAAGTCAAGTACGTTGGGTAGTGATCTGGCCTCAACATTATCATTTTTTTCAACCTGTATGTTAACAAGCCCAATAATATCACATGATTACTAAAAATATAAATATTGTCTAAAATATTTACTAATTCCTAAAAAAAATGCTTTAGAAACCAACTGCGATTCCGTTCGATAAATGTCTAATAATATAACATTAACTGTACCTATTGTTAAGATGAAAACAATTGCTTCGAATGTCTTTAATTCCGGCAATTTAATCCTAATATATTTAAAATATATTCATGATAATAAATAATTAAACCCCCATGAAAAGGGTCGCCAGATTGCAAAAAATCAACAAACGTGAATCCAAACGGCTTGGCCAATTTAACTGATCAGGTTCTAAATCTATGGGAATCAATCATTAACAATCAATCAATCTTCGTTTGCGTCCAGAGACCCGGTTCCCAGAGGTAGGAAGTTTCTTTGCCATCAACTTTTTGCACCAAATTATACGATCAGTTGTATCCATTTCATTTAAATTTAGAGCTTTCATGTTTTGCTCGATTTGCTCGATTGTTTGCGACCAGGCCTTTGGACGGCCTTTGGGACGTGTGCCAGGTACTTCAATTATATCCATTCAGTTATTTACCAAATCAAATCATCTGTCCATCAATTCACGCAATTATATCCATTGATTTACCAAATCATCAATCCACCTAGCAAACCAAATTATCAATCAATAAACCAAAATCATTTATATTACCAATATATCTGAGGCCTAAACGTGTAGGACGACCCTGACCAACATTAACAGAAATATTTAATAATAAACTTGAGTAAAACGTTTAATTCATAAAATTAAAAAATAAATTGAAACAAATGAAGCTAATGAATTGGAATGAGAGACTTAAAATAATTAGTTCTAATCATTTCAAGAATACTTCTTTTAAACAAGCTGAGAGAAGTAATATTTTTAACGTATTCAGGTAAGAAATCCCATAGACGCTTAGAGACAGAAAAAACAGAATTATAAAAAAAATTTGTACGTGGTTTAGATAAATAAAAATCAGGCTTATTTCTAATAACAATCGAGCAAGTATTGGTTAAATAATTCACTTGACTATATAAAAAATAACATTGATTTAATCTATGCAATTTATAAAAAAAACAGTAACAAACTTATAGTATATAAATCGTCAACTTTTATGATATTAGTTAATCAATCAATCAATCTTCGTTTTGCGTTCAGAAACCGGTTTCCCGAGGTAGGACGTTTCTTTGCCATCAACATTTTGCGCCAAATTAGACGATCAGTTGTATCCATTTCATTTAAATTTAGAGCTTTCATGTCTTGCTCGATTGTTTGCGACCAGGACTTTTTTGGACGGCCTTTGGGACGTGCGCGAGGTAATTCAACATCTGCAAGAGAAGTTATGGCACTGTTTCCACTTCGTTTGACATGACCAAACCACAGTGTTGCCGGCATTCGTCCTTTATATCATCTAAACCAGCACGACGCAGGATTTCAGTAGATTTGGTGTGGTCCTTCAGACTAATTCGTTGCATCCATCGGAGCATTTTCATGTCGGTTCGTTGAAGTTGTTGTTCCAGTTTGGTTGTCATTGGCCATGTTTCTGCACCATATAACAACACCGGACGTATCACAGGTTTATAAAGTCTTGATCGTAGTGATAGTGGGATGTCACAAAGCATCAATATAGAGGCAAGGAGATGCCATTTATTCCAGCTCGAACATGCTCGCTCGAACGGCAGCTTCAGCTGTTCCAGTACAATCCAGAACATTCCCTAGATATTGAAACGATGTAACTTTTTCTACCTTAATGGCTTCAAAAACAGTGCTATTTCGAATTTGTTGTTGAGAATTGATGCAAGCAGGACAAACAAAATTGGACACTTTAGATAAAGTACCAATTATTTTTGAACAACGTTTGTGACACCACTGGTTACACTGCTGACACTTGATTGAATTGTTATCTACACCAGCTTTACAAACTGAACAGGGCCATCGTTCAATAGCTGTGGATTGGATGGGTTCACCAGTGTTCATTGCTTTGGTTTTGCTGATGTTGACTTTGAATCCATAATCGGCGAGTCTGGTGTTCCAATCTTCAAACATCTGTGCTGCATTCTGCTCAGACGTGGCTGTTAAAACGATATCATCAGCATTAATTAGATTCCAAATGTCACCGGTGCGTATCATCCATCAAAGTTATAAATAACAATGGACTGAGAATCGAGCCTTGGTGAACTCCAACGCCGATGTCAAATGCATCTGTGTTTCCAACCGTTGTGCTAACGAGAGTCTTAGTATTCGTATACATTTCCATCACAAGTCGAACAAGATATTCTTGAATGAGTTGTCGACAAAGACTCCACCTGATTGCTTCACGGGGAACTCGATCAAATGCTTTTTCATGGTCGACAAAAATGTGTGATAGTTGTTGATGCTTTTCGAGGTACTTTTCTTGCAGTTGCCGAAGGATGTGAATTGCATCAATTGTTGATTTTCCCGCTAGAAAACCAAATTAATAATTTCAGATTGTGATGCACGACGTTAATCTTCTCTCCATGATTTTCTCGACAATATTCAGGGAGTGTTCTAACAGACGTATACCCCGATATGATGAACAGTTCAATGGATCACCATTGCCTTTGTATAGCGGGACTGTCATGCTATAATTCCATTCAGTCGGCATTGAGCAATTTCTCCAGATTTCACGGCAAAGTTATAGTAACGTTTGGATACCTGCAGTACCAGATGCTTTGATAATGTCATTTGTGAGTCCAGAGGGCTCTGCTGCCTTTCCATCCTTCATAGCTTTCAGAGCTTCTGTAAGCTCCTCTACAGTGATGTCATGGGTGGAGCGTCAAAGTTAACATTGATGGAATTGGTTTCGTTTAACAGACGGTTGAAGTATTCTCTCACTGTAGCTTGATCTCATCTTGTTCAAGAACCATCTCATTATTATCATTTTTGATATATGAGGCACTAACTATATTTTTTTCGTACGCTTTGCTTGTTTTGCTATACGATACAGAAATTTCATTTGTTCATCTTTGCTTTTAGTGAACCACTCTCTGCACTGAACTGTCCGAGCCAGTGCAACTTGACGTCTAGCATAGTAGTTCTTCTCACGGAAAATTTTATGGTCATCAACAGACTTTGATTTTTTCAGCTCTTTTCAGCTATTGCATTTTGTACACTGTCATTCCACCACCAAGTGTCCCGTTCATGCTGACGTTTTGTACCAGTTTTCCCACAAACTGTAGTTGCAGCGTTTATCAAAACGGTTTTGTATGTACTCCAATCTGTACTGGCTTGCGATTAGTGGTCTAACTGAGTGGCGACAATCTGTTGAAATTTTTCTCGATGAATATTGCTTTTCAGCTTCCACGTTTCGATTCTCCGAGGCATTTGTTTAGACTTATGTTTTGACAGTTCGACAACCAAGTCTGCCACAAAGAGTCTATGTTGGGCGACACATGATTCGCCAGGTATAACTTTGACATTTTTGAAAAGCCTTCGGTGTTGTTGCTTGACAGCGAAGAAATCATTTGCGTGGCTGATGTCTACTTTTTTATGTTATGAGATGCTCCAACCTCTGTCTGAAATATGTGTTCAGTAAACAAAACCCGTGACTTTCAGCAAACTCAAGGATGCGGTTGCCATCTTCATTCCGTTCTCCATAGCCAAAACCGCCATGTACGTTTTCAAAAACCATCTGTTTTCTCTCCAACGTGGCCATTGAGATCGCCTCCAATCAGATTTTGGTATTGTTGAAATGGTGTCAGAGAATGCAGCCCAGAAGTCATTTTTCATCTCTTCTGATTCGCCTGTCTGTGGTGCGTATGCAGAAAAAATAATCATTGTTTGCTTTTCTATGCGAAGCTTGATCCACATGAGGCGTGAAATAATCCTTTTAATATCCAGTACTTCTTGGGCTAGCGGTTCTCTGACAAAAATTCCAACACCATTTTTGGCCGTCGTTTGACCATTCCAGAATAGTTTATATTTTTCTTTGTAAGGTTGTGATGGATGTGGCATCAAAAATACGGGGAAGAGGAAGTCAGTGATCCAACATTGAGCGTTCCAAGTCTAAGTACCATAAAGGGGCCATTCTGAATTTTTCTGCAACATCCCTCCGCTATTGCATACTTCCCAGGGATCCTTGGCACCCCTTGACCACTTAAAGCCTGCTTGGGAACTAGGGGCCGTTGTTTTTCTTTGTGATGGCATTAACCATTCTGGATGGGATCAAGATAATGCCCATTAACCAACCATTAACAATCAACTATTCTAAATCTTCATATAACAAACCATAAACTGTATCAGCCTTTAAAATGATATATCTAATGTTTAAATAACCAAAACGTAATCAGTTCACAAATTTACAAACTTTTGGATCAGTTCCATCACTATCACAATTAACATCATTGATTCCATCACCCCTACATCATTACTACCATCATCACCAGTTACATCACTATAGCCACTAACTTCATCGTCTTCAATATCAGATTCACCATTATTATCAATATAAATATCACCAATGTTGATCCCCATACAATCATAATCAACACCAGCCTCACCATATAATTGAAAAATGGAAATTATTGACGAATTTGTTGATTTAATTGATTTATTACGTTTTAAATATTTTGTTATTTTGTTTTGCAATCGGATATTATTGTTAGTTAATTGCTCGGAAATTCTCGTGAATTTAATAATCAATAATAGTTAATAATCAAACGTTTGTTGTCGTGACTAATTAAATTGAAATAAAAACCCATTACGGTTGTGTGGTAAATGAAGAGCTGATTAACTATTTCAATGACCTTTGAAATGAAAGTAAGATTCGATATAGGTCTGTAGGTGCTCACCCATCAAGTAGCAGACCAGCCTTTTTTAACATTGGCCTCATATTGGCTTCATCTGAGATTTAGACATAACCGACGTTCGCAGTCATTCGTTTATCAAACTATGAAGGAACGGTGGGATAGAAGCAGATCCGATTTCAAAGAGAAATGTTGGAATGGGATCAAGATAATGTCCATTTGACAACTACTGTCAGAGTTAAGGTTAGGATTAGGGTCAGCTTTTGAACGTCGGAAGGGTATATGATAATGTTGGTTAACGGTAAAAGAGCAACAACAACTAATGAAAAGGGGCAGGATTAAAATAACAACCAATGGTAATTAACGGTCAGTTGATATTATTACAGCGGTAATACTTAAAAAAGGATAGTTTGCGATAATTTTTAAATAGGTTTAAATAGGTGGTGAATGTTTGTAATTGCGAGTTGGGAAAAGTTGGGTGTTGTGTTGGTAGTCAATTATAAAACGTTGGTAGTCGGTTCGTGGTAATTGATCGGTCGTGGTTAAAAAGTGGTAGTCGGTTCATGGTAGTTGGTCGATCGTTGGTGAACGTTGGTGGTATTAGTAGTAATTTGTCGGTCGTCGCTGAACGTCAGTAGTAGTTGTCGTAATTTTGTTGCAAAAATTTTTTGTTCGTTAATTTAATGTAGTAGAAATTCTATAGTGAACCATGTCGTCAACCAGTCCACAGTTTTTTACATTCAACTAAGTTGTCAACAAGCTTGTTACAGTCGACCTTGTCATCAACCAGCACAGTTTCAAACAGCCTGTATCCTACAGTTAACAGTTGTCGTTAACTCACCGTTTCCAAATATAGCGTTGTCGTCATTAACATTAAAAAATATCCTGACAATTAAAAAGATACACGAAGGTTTGTTATCTGAACTTTTTATAATTTTTGTATCAGATTTTATTAAGTCAATAAAAGTTTCTGTTCACAAATTACGAGTTTGATTTGACGAGAAAAAACCTTTACAAAGACTGAATTAAATTTTTTAGCTTATCATCCTAACCTTCGAAAACGACAGAAACGAAAATTTGTTGATGTGAACTCAAGTGAACAATTTCCTTTGACCCTTATTTCAGCTTTGGATTTCACATACTTTAAAAAGTCGCAGACTGAAATAGATGAAACTGATGATTTGTGGTGCGATAATTTACGTGTATTCCAAGCAAGGTCGAAACAATTCTCAAGATTTTAAAAAATTTCATGAATTAGAAACAATTTATGCTTCTCAACGATCGCTTCTTCCAACGATTGAGATCAACTGAAATGATACGTCTTTTCTAATCTACAGATAAAAAGTTTTTAGTAGTAGTAGTAGTAGTAGTAGTAGTAGTAGTAGTAGTAGTAGTAGTAGTAGTAGTAGTAGTAGTAGTAGTAGTAGTAGTAGTAAAGCTGTTCTGGAGGTTATCCAGAGAGCATGCTGTCAGGCATGCTGGCACAGCTGATTCGTTGATTGATTGTTGTTCATCCAACAATCAATGCCTGCTTTAAATTTGTTCATTGATTGTGCCTCAACAAGTTCATATGGTAATGAGTTCCAAGTATTTGCGACTATTGAATAAGTAATTCTCTCTGTCTCTATGTCTTGTTAACTCTTTAAACTATTTCAATATTTCAAACTGTGACCTCGCGCTTTGGTTTTGACTATGCTAAAACGATTATTTAAATAACTTTGTCCAAATTATGCATGATTTTAAACAACTGAATCAAATCTCCTTTTTTCTTTTTTCCACCAAGGTTGTTAATTTTAATTTTTTAGGACGATCTTCGTAAGCTAAGTTTCTTATAAATGAAACCAACTTTGTTGCTCTGTGCTGGACTCTTCGATTACCTCGCTATTATCCTTTAGATCTGGGGACCAAACTGACACTCAAACTCCAACAGAAGACGAATAAAAGTTAGGTATAAATTACGAAGCAACTTATAATCAAATTTCCCAAAAGATTTTTTTATTCGACTCAGCTTTTGGTTTGCTTTGTTTGATGCTGTGATGACTTGATTTTTCCATTTTAAATTATTTGAGAAAATCACCCCAAGATCTCTCTCGGATTCAAATTCAGCAAGAAGTATTCCATTTATTTAGAGTAGAAATTTTTTATTACCTGGTCCGTAGTGCATAACAGTGCATTTTTCAATATTGAACCGTAGATTGCGTCCATTTAAATCAATCAATCAATCTTCGTTTAGCGCCCAGAGACCCAGTTTCCCCGAGGTAGGACGTCTTGCGTCCAATAAAATGCCTCATTCAAATCAGATTGAAGTTCGACAACACCGTTATCTAACGATATTGCTTTCATGATTTTGGTATCATCTGCAAAGAGTTTTGTTTTATTTTTCAGTTTTGTTGGTAAGTTGGGAATGAAGAGTAGAAGATCAATAACAGAGCAAATTTTGATCTTAAAATTTGACGTAAAAATCAACCGCAGAATTTAGAGCGAACTTTAAAAAGCTATACAAAAGATTGTTGATCAATGAGCCTGGGTGGTGCAATGGTGTAATGGTTAAGGCACCTAGTGATTTTATGTATTGTTGAAAACTAAATGGCAACTGGAGCAAAGAAACTGTTGGCAATGCTAGTTTAAAGAGTCCTCAAAATGAATATTCAAGTCTCATAGTACGACAACATCGCTAATGAGAATAGTAAAGACCTCAAGAATCGGCCAAAACCCAGTGAAATAGGCTTTCGATATAGGAGACAAATCATAAAGTCATCAAAATGTCGAACGAGGCTTAAGGAATGTTAAAACGCATAGGTACTCGAAGGTGAAAGAATGACTCAAAGGTGAAAAAGTGAAAGTTTCAAAGATCAGATGGAGCATCTGGAGTTTTTACCAAATCCCAAGCAGCATCGAAACATTGGTGATAGCTATTGAGTGTTAACCGTCAAAAATTTTGTTAGTTATACTAATAATAAAATTAAATTATTATTATTTTTCATTGTCCAAACCATGTTCAGCAGAATTTTAATTAGTTGTTGGTTTTTTTATATTTAAAAAATGTGTGATTATTAGAAAGTAAGGAAATAGTACGTCCAAATTTACAATGCCAGATTTAAAATTTAAACATTATTGTTCTAATACTTCTAGGTGTATAAAATTTGTTAAACTTAAATAAATTGACAACGCTTTTAACAAAATCAATGCGGTGTAGATTTCCATCCAGCAAATAAACAAATTTATTTCGATTAAATTTAATTAGACTTTAATTCTAAAAACTTATGAAAAATTTATAAAACAGAAGTTAGTCATGACCAATTTAACAGCAAAACTCCACCAAAAAATTGTTTTCAATATAAATGTCAAAAATGAAGCTTATAAACATAAGCGAACAACACATATCTGGCAAACTAGACGCATACGCCAAACTATTTAAATGCTTTAAAATTAAATAAAACGTGTGAAAATTATGGAAAAACTAAAAATTCTGATACAGAAAAAGAATTCTACAAAAATTACATTAAATTTTATAAATTAGCAAAATATCACCTATATGAAGGCCTTCTAGGTAAATCGTGTTTGTGATAGACTTCAGCAGCATTTGTTCCAGGATGTTCCATTTCTAAGGTATGCTATTAAATTAAAAAAATTTAGGTCTTACCAATAGTTTAACAATTTATAATTGACAAATCAAAAATATTTTCTGCCAGAAAAAAACATTATGCACAAAAAAGTTTAAATAAACATAATAAAATCATACACAACAAAATTAATGCAAAAACCATCCTGATCCAAGAACATACTTATAGCGTGATATAGCTATGTAAGTTTATAAACAACTTCACTCGCGGCAGTAAATCATTAGGATTGACATTCAATCTAAAAAAACTAATGTGTTAGTACTAGGTGCGGAAACGTCACCAGTCATTAAATTTGATAAACAGTCTTTAAATGTTTAGTTTAGATCCCAAATAGCCAGATCTAGTCTAAAGCAATGTCAGCTCAGCAAAATAGTCTGGGATAATCGAAATCTCATATGCCAGACCAGGATGCGTTTTTTACAAATCCAACGTGCTTAGTACAATTCTATGCAGCAGGAAATCTAGATAATCTCAGCCAGATAAGAAAAAATTGAATGCTTTTCATTAAAAAGTCTATACCGCATTCTCTAAATGAAAGAAAATAGAGGTTTATGAACAACGAAGTTTTTAATCGTGCCAGCCTTGCCGGTCTGCAACGTTTTGGTTGGCTTGGGCATAATAGGAATAACTAGATAGAATCTTTATAAATATACTTTATGAAAAGTTAATTGAGGAAACCTGCTAAACTGGTCGTCTTTAACTCAAATAAAAGCATGTTTGTGAAAGGTCGATGAGAGTACTCAAAATAAATTGTAGTGTACGGGAGGTTTTAACGTCTGAGAGCTTCTAGCGTCTGACAGAGGATGCTGGAGAAAAATATTAAAAAAATATTAATGTTAAATAAACTAGCAGCCGATGAGATAAGTCGTTTCATGATATCAAAGAGGCTCTCATGAAAGAGAAAGCTGGACGGCTTATTAATTCGGTATAGTTCATCTGCCGACTAACTGTATGGAAGAAACTGTTATGCCCGGATTGGCTTAGCCACTCGAAAGAGGTTAAAGGTTACTCTCTCTCTTGCGTTAGCTTCAGAGGTTTCAACGACAAACACACACAGCGTATATGAATACGCGTGCAAACCACGCATCATACACATTGCATATGATAGGCGGAGATCTCTTTGTATTCGAACCCAGTCATTGCAATAGCAAGACCAGGCGCCTTTAACCATTGAGCCATCACGCCGCCCGAAAGAATGTAGTTAATAAATGAAAGAGTGTCATTTACAAGCACAACGATGACGAAATTAGATTGTAATATTAGCCTTTACGATTAAATAACCACAATGGAAGTTAACCAAGGATTTTTTGTTTAATTTCATTTTTGGTACTTCGTCCGCTTCTAACTCAATTCCCACATATGCAGAGTCATTAAAACTTTCAATTTATTTTTCCCAGTGGTATATCTTGATAGTTGGCCAGCCTGTTCTTTGGTTTGAGACTGACATCAGTTAAGTTTTCCCATATTAATTTTTAAACCAAATAATCCGTTTTTTTTATACAAAGCTTCTAGTCGTTCTACGATCCTTACCATACAATCTGTAGTCAAGTAAATATTTCCAGCATATTCTCCATCTTCAATGATTCTGATATTTAGTTTGCGTGGCTTTTCCAAATGTCTCACAATATTACATTAAACAGGATGAGTGAAAATCCATGTCCTAATTTAGTTTCAATATTAAACCATTCATCTACTTTGGCAATGCCAATAAGATGCTGTATAGGTTTTCAAGCAGTCTGATTATTTTCGCATGTAATCCGTATATTTCCAAACTAATCATTGCTCAGCACACAAAATCATACGCTTGTAGTCAATAAACATTAACTTAACCTGTTTTCTGAATTCCTTTTGTTTTTCAAGAATTTCGTCACAGAAAAAAATCTGATCTGTACATGTACATACTAGTCCTCTTCTAAACCAACATAGCTTTTCTCTTAAAACATTGATTTTCTTCTAAAAATTAAATCTATTAATTTATTTTTTCAAAATAATTCCGGTAAATATATATTCTGGTATACTAAGAAAATTTATTCCTCTTACATTGCTGGATTCTTGTTTACTTTTTTTTTATGTATCGGAGTGATAGTTGATTTTTCTATCCCATGGGTTTTTTTTCTGATTTCCATATTGTAAATATCAACCGCTGCAGCTAACTCACCGTGTATATTCCAGTTCCTTCTAACATTTTAGATGTGATTTTAAATATGCCTGGCGATTTTATTGCTTTTTCTATCTTTTCTACCACGCCTTTTTAGGTTTTTGGCAAAAAACTCTAGACTTTATGTTCTGTGAAAATGTCATGCGTTTCACTGGATTGACTCAGCGTTCTTTCGCTTAGTAAATTTGACCTCGGGGAAAGTTAAAGTTAGCTGCTCAGATCAAATTAAAGTTACAGTTAGTTATTTGATGCTAATTTTTGTTAAAGTTAAAGTTACAGTTACTATTCGACTTATCAATTTTGGGTCAAGTTGCCTTCGTACTGAGTTTTTTAATACATTTTAATACATTTCTGGTTAATACTGTACTAAAGCTTGAAAGTCGTTTATTTATGTAATGTAAACACTACTGAAATACAAAGCTTCATAACAAGCGAAATGAATATTCTTACAAACTATTATGTTGCATGAGTAGCCTATCACATTTGATGGATGATCATCAATTATATGATGTTAACAAATTATATTAAAATTTCAAGAATAATGTTTAACCTATAGATTCATGTAAAAGAAAAATTATCGTGAATTTATTCCGATGACAGTTAATGATTTAAAATTTATCAACGTGCCAACGCAAATCAACTTTATATGAAATCAACAATATCGTCAAGCTAGGCTGAACACACTCAGCACACGAAACAGTAGTCGATGGCGGATCTAGACAACTTTCACGATTATGGGGCCTAAATTTTTAAAATGTTTATACGACGTTGACGGGGGGAGTGAAATTTCGAAGATATTTAAAGGTTGACCAGGAGGATTTCAAAAATATTTCAACGTTGACCGTGGACCCTACTTATTCCAACTTTTTCGATTATAACATTCGCCTTTACTGACTTTTAATACAAACACTACGAACAACGGGACCTCCGGCTCCTCTTAGATCCACCACTAATAACAGGAGTTAGTAGTATTTGATTTAAATGTATCTTTGATAATAAAGACAAAACCACCACCTGGTGGTGCAGAAGATTTATTGGACATTTGTGACTTTCCATGACTTCATGGAGTATCGTAACTAACGTAACCCATTGAGAGTCCGCGCAGTAACACAATTGGAACTACAGGGATAGAAACTGTTTTATCGTTTCAATACCTGAGAGATGTACTGGATTGCACTGGAACATGTATAAGTGCGGAATGGTGCGGCATTCTACTGTCGCTGTGCTCAAAGTTATACAATTCAATGATATGCTCCGTATTGATGTATGGTGCAGAGACGTGGCAAATGACAATAAAACTCGAGCAGCAACTTCACCAAACGGACATGAAAATGATTCGATGGATGCATTACGCTGATCTGAGAGACCATAACCATATGACAGTGCAATCCTGAGCCGTGCAGTATTGTGCACCCTAAAAGTTGCATGTCGACGTTATCGTCTACGATGGTTTGGTCATGTCAAGCGAAGCAAAAATGAACCGATAATTTCTGTCACAAATCATCTGGTGCCTGGTACAGGGCCGCCCATAAAAGTTTTGGATACAAATTATACGGGAAGATTTGAAAGCACTAAATTTCAAAGATTTAGACGCAAATGATCGAGAAGCTAGGAGACAGAAGTTGATGTCAGGAACACAAAAGTCCAACCTGGAATAGAAAAGAACTATAAATGAAGATTGATTTTACCATTTAATTTAACCAAAATTGGAGCTTTAACTTTAATCAAAAACCAGCAAAAAACAACATTAAACAAGCTAAATTCAAAACACGCCCGACAACTGTTGAAACGCATATGAATATTTACCAAGAACTCAACCATAGAATTTGTTCAAATACAGTCGGACCTCCTTATGTTCTACACAACGAAAATCTCTATATAACGAATTTTTTTATGTCACTTGTAATTTTACATATAAGACTGTCCCTATAGAACAAAAATAATTTTTCTAAAATGAGCAAAATTTATAAAAGTAGGGTTACTAAAAGTACTCTTTTAAACATGATTGTCATCTGTCCTTCCACCTTTATTAAATTCTGTTAAAAGTCCGCCCTTCACATGCTTTTTATTAAAATGTAAAACTTAACCGGTTTTTTTTTCAAATTTTTATCTTGCTTTTTTGTTTGTTGGTTTTTGTTTGATATGAACCTCTCTTCATAGTTAAAATAAAATTAACTTTTAGTTGCGCCACTTATGTCTAGACATTTTTATTCTTTGAGATGGTAAAACCTTATCACTCCACGCGTAAGCCTTTAATTAATATGTATGACCAACAGAAGCGCTTTATTTTTTCAATTTGTAATTTTTAAATTTCATCATTTTAAGTAAAAATGATGTTTTAATAAATATCATTATTTTTTTTATTTCAAAAAGATGTTAAAAACATTTATAATTTTATTTGCACATTATACTTATATAAAAAAAAAGAAAACAGAAGTATTAATCGAATAATGAAAATAGCTAATTGTGGAAACAAAAAAAAAAAAAAAAAAGGTATCATAATTTCAAACGGTAATAATGTCAAATAAGTTCCAGAGCTTTCTGGGACCGTTCTTTAAGATCTGCAATGATACACAGCCACATAAATTCATCAAGGCATCATCATACGTGAGCATTGCACGTACCATTCATCCTTTTAAATTTTTGTTTGGCGCATCATCACAAATTCTCAACTCTATTGTGAGCACTCCGTTTACTGTCCGTAATATAATGGAGTGGTTCACGGTTTGATGATTTAGGCCGGTTACGGGTGTGATGCAGTTATAAGCAGCCCATTGATCCGACCAAGCAGTAATACCTAAAATTATTAAAATAAAACTATATTTCATAGCCAACAAAAATAAATTTTAAAACATTAAACTTTATGAAACAACCGGGCAGAACATGTCGCTGTATCAATGGGAACAACGTGGCAGCGTCTCGCCTTTCCACTTCCACCAAAAAGGGATTTTTTGTCTGCATATCGATGCCTCCTAAAACCCAGCGTGCTCTAACTTGGCGTGCACGTTGGTTCTTTGATCTTTTTGCAGATTAGATACAACTCTCATCTATCTGAACAATGTGTCCGGAACCGCCTATATGTGCAGGGTTATCACGAGCCAGTCTACATATAAATCCCGATGTAAATTGAACCAGTCAGGTAATGTGCTCCAGACGTTCAAATCTAAGAGCTCGGCTATAGTAGCCTTTGCTAACGTCATTTATACAGCAAAAAACGTGGCCTGTTTTATTAAATTTGAAACGAATTTTACGAGATATGCAAAACACATTGACGATCCAACATTGAAATTATCAACAAAAACTCGTATCATTATCTTTAAACAAATTAAATTTATTATATTTAAATTATAGAAAATGAAAAAAATCTTAACAGAATAGAGTTTGTTAGCGACAATTTGCTACGGTTGTAGAAACTTCCGTGTCTAACGTTTTAGTGAAGCGGTAGTTACCATTTTTGCATCTCCACAAGCAGCCACCGGATGCTGTTGTGCATTTTGCAACCTCCTGTCTGCAAGACAATGGCATTTCCTCGTGACTGCATGCAATCCGTGCTCTTTTACCCACCTAACAGCATCTTCGGTGTTTGCAATTCTGGTTTTTAGGTCAACCATTTTTATTTCTTGAACTGAGGACTAAACAGCCATTTCATCTTTATATAAAAGCTCTTTCATGTTAGAAATTGCACTATTTTATTTAAATGGTATTTTAATACATGAGCTTAATTATATACGGCACCATACATTTTAATTAACATTTTTCAAAGATAATTTCATTAGTTTTTTTTATTATTAAAAAAAAATTAGGATCTGACAGACGCAGAAACTGTCACAACATGCAAGGCAATAGCATATAATTTCATTTAATTCTCAACATTCAAACAATTTATTATGAAAAAAAAATGAAACGCTTCCGTTGGTCATGAATATTAATTAGAGGCGGAATCAAATTTAAAGGTTTTCAATATTATTCTATGTGAACAACAAACGCGTGAAGGTTTTACCTTTTGGGTATGAAAGCACCGTCGTCTTTACTTGGTAGATATTTTTGCAGTAATTGCAAAAGAAGAGAAAAACGGTTCTCTTTTTTTTTATTAATTTATTTAGAAATTTATATCTTTTTATTTCAAACCTGTTTATTTTTTTAGAAACTCTGCCTCAATTAACTTTAATGGAATCGGAATCATCGTTGCATGAAGCAAAGAATAAATTTCGCCTTTAAAATAAATGATCAGGATGTTGTTTTTCACAAATATGTAGCGTATATATAGCATATTTTTTGACGAACAAATTCTATATAAAGAAATTTCTATATACCGAAATTTTTTCCTTGAATCACCAAATTCGTTACATGGAGGTCCAACTGTAATTACCATGTATTTATAGATAAGTAGTCGCACGACCGGCAAGCGTAGACGCATTTACATACTCACATTTTCAAACATGCACAAACACCTAAAAATATTTTGAAAAAATCTCATAAAAATCTGTGCAGCCACTAATACCGAAAAAACTTCCAACTTAAAAACTTCAGTTTTAGTCCTATGTCTACGATGCTGTTCTTTGGTGTCATTTACAACAAACAGTATAACTTCTCAAGTAGATGAACTACTTCAATTTTTTTTTAATATTTTTGTGTAAATGTTTGAAAATATTTTGTGAAAATAGTTTGATTTTTTGATACTTCTCTTATATTTTGTTATTTTACCAAAACTATGAAAATCAAAATTTTTTCCAAAACTTATTATTTTTAACTAAAATAATATTAATATAACATGTTAAATTATATTGTTTGCATCTGACCATATTTTGTTTATTTGTATACATTGAAAAAAAATCAACGAGATCCTTAAAACATGCTTTTTAATAAAGTGCTAAAAAAGATTTTCAGACAAGGTATGATGACAAGCAACTTATTTCGATAATTTTTTTCCTCTATTTAAGTAGCCTTGTGTAGTTAGGAAGCACATAGTCAATCTTCGTTTTGCGTCCAGAGACCGGTTTCCCGAGGTAGGACGTTGTTTTCTTTGCCATCAACTTTTTGCGCCAAATAAGACGATCAGTTGTATCCATTTCATTTAAATTTAGAGCTTTCATGTCTTGCTCGATTGTATGCGACCAGGACTTCTTTGGACGGCCTTTGGGACGTGTACCAGGTACTTCAACATCTGCAAGAGAAGTTATGGCACTGTTTCCACTTCGTTTGACATTCGTTGCCGGCATTCGTCCTTTATATCATCTAAACCAGCACGACGCAGGATTTCGGTAGATTTGATGTGGTCCTTTAGACTAATTCGTTGCATCCATCGGAGCATTTTCATGTCGGTTCGTTGAAGTTGTTGTTCCAGTTTGGTTGTCATTGGCCATGTTTCTGCAACATATAACAACACCGGACGTATCACAGATTTATAAAGTCTTGATCGTAGTGGTAGTAGGATGTCACGCCGCATCAATATAGAGGCAAGGAGATGCCATTTATTCGAGGCCGCACGTATGAGTGCTCGAACGGCAGCTTCAGCTGTTCCAGTACAATCCAGAACATCCCCTAGATATTGAAACGATGTGACTTTCTCTACCTTAATGGCTTCAAAAACAGTGCTATTTCGAATTTGTTGTTGTGGATTGATGCAAGCAGGACAAACAAAATTGGACACTTTAGATAAAGTACCAATTATTTTTGAACAACGTTTGTGACATCACTGGTTACACTGCTGACACTTGATTGAATTGTTATCTACACCAGCTATACAAACTGAACAGGGCCATCGTTCAGTAGCTGTGGATTGGATGGGTTCACCAGTTTTTATTGCTTTGGTTTTGCTGATGTTGACTTTGAATCCATGATCGGCGAGTCTGGTGTTCCAATCTTCAAGCATCTGTGCTGCATTCTGCTCAGACGTGGCTGTTAAAACGATATCATCAGCTAATACTCAATTCCAAATGTCACTACTGCGTATCGGTTTTGTGATTTCTTCCATCAAAGTTATAAATTTCAATGGACTGAGAATCGAGCCTTGGTGAACTCCAACGCCGATGTCAAATGCATCTGTTTCTAACCGTTGTGCTGACAAGAGTCTTAGTATTCGTATACATTTCCATCACAAGTCGAACAAGATATTCTGGAATGAGTTGTCGACGTAGACTCCACTTGATTGCTTTACGGGGAACTCGATCAAAGGCTTTTTCATGGTCGACAAAAATGTGTGATAGTTGTTGATGCTTTGCGAGGTACTTCTCTTGCAGTTGCCAAAGGATGTGAATTGCATCAATTGTTGATTTCCCCGCTAGGAAACCAAATTGATAATTTTCGATTGTGATGCACGACGTTAATCTTTTCTCAATGATTTTCTCGACAATTTTCAGAGAGTGTTCTAACAGACGTATACCCCGATATGACGAACAGTTCAATGGATCACCTTTGCCTTTGTATAGAGGGACTGTCATGCTATAGTTCCATATTCAGTCGGCATTGAGCAATTTCTCTAGATTTCACGGTAAAGTTGTAGTAACGTTTGGATACCTGCAGTACCAGAGGCTTTGATAATGTCATTTGTGAGTCCAGAGGACCCTGCTGCCTTTCCATCCTTCATAGCTTTCAGAGCTTCTAAAGTGATGTCTGGAATCGGACCTTCGATGGGTGGAGCGTCAAAGTTAACATTGATGGGATTTGTTTCGTTTAACAGACGGTTGAAGTATTCTCTCACTGTAGCTTGATCTCATCTTGTTCAAGAACCATCTCATTATTATCATTTTTGATATATGAGGCACTAACTATATTTTTTTCGTACGCTTTGCTTGTTTTGCTATACGATACAGAAATTTCATTTGTTCATCTTTGCTTTTAGTGAACCACTCTCTGCACTGAACTGTCCGAGCCAGTGCAACTTGACGTCTAGCATAGTAGTTCTTCTCACGGAAAATTTTATGGTCATCAACAGACTTTGATTGTTGCCATTGATTGTATGCAACTTTCTTTTCAGCTATTGCCTTTTGTACACTGTCATTCCACCACCAAGTGTCCCGTTCATGATGACGTTTTGTACCAGTTTTCCCACAAACTGTAGTTGCAGCGTTTATCAAAACGGTTCTGTACTGGCTTGCGATTGGTGGTTCAACTGTGTGGCGATAGATAATCTGTTGAAATTTTTCTCGATGAATATTGCTTTTCAGCTTTCACGTTTTGATTCTCCGAGGCATTTGTTTAGGCTTATGTTTTGACAGTTCGACAACCAGGTCTGCCATAAGGAGTCTATGTTGGGCGACGCATGATTCGCCGGGTATAACTTTGACATTTTTGAATAGCCTTCGGTGTTGTTGCTTGACAGCGAAGAAATCAATTTGTGTGGCTGATGGTCAACTTCTGTATGTTATAAGATGTTCCAACCTCTTTCTAAAATATGTATTCAGTAAACAAAGCCCGTGACTTTTAGCAAACTCAAGGGTGCGGTTGCCATCTTCATTCCGTTTTCCATAGCCAAAACCGCCATGTACTTTGTCAAAACCACCTGTTTTCTCTCCAACGTGACCATTGAGATCGCCTTCAATCAGGATTGTTTCAGATTTTGGTATTGTTGAGATGGTGTCACAGAATGCAGTCCAGAAGTCATTTTTCATCTCTTCTGATTCGTCTGTTTGTGGTGCGTATGCAGAAAAAATAATCATTTTTTGCTTTTCTATGCGAAGCTTGATCCACATGAGACATGAATTAATCCTTTTAATATCCAGTACTTCTTGGGCTAGCGGTTCTCTGACAAAAATTCCAACACCATTTTTGGCCGTCTTTTGACCATTCCAGAATAGTTTATATTTTTCTTTGTCTGAGTTGACATGACGACACCATTCGATTTCCATTGGGTTTCCTGAAGGCAGCAGATGTCAATCCTTCTACGCTCGAGCATTTCTGCGATTTCCATGCTGCGGCCAGTCAGTGATCCAACATTGAGCGTTCCAAGTCTAAGTACCATAGAGGGACCATTCTGAATTTGTCTGCAACATCCCTCCGCTATTGCATACTTCCCAGGGATTCTTGGCACTCCTTGACCTTAAGGCATGCTGGGGACTAGGGGCCGTTGTTTTTCTTTGTGATGGCATAAGAGTAATTTGGGGAAAAGTTTTTAAATCCGGGCACCCATCCTGACGACAACCACCAGTTATAAGCGGTGGGCCTAACCTTTCGCTCAAAAGCACGCAAGGCAGCGTGGATGCAGTTTTATGTCATGTCCAGGACCATTAAGAAGCACATAGTACACATAAATATATACATACACCAAACACACACAGATATTATATATATATATTTTTTTTTACAATATTCTATAAATTCTACCGAATGTTTGCTTGTTGTTTATACAAATAAACAATATATATATATATAGAATACAAATAAACAATATATATATGTATGTATACATATATATATACATATACATATAACGCCAAACATTCGGTAGAATATATATATATATATATCGTTAATAAGAAATAACATCGCATTTTCCGCTTGTTGAGTTTGTTTGTAACTAAGTTTTTCAATTTTTCGAACAATTATTTTATCGATATTATTCAATTTTTTCAAATTAATAATAAAATTTCTAATTATTTTAGACTGCATTTTCATACATACATTTGCATAGAAGCTTTTTTCGGTAACCTTTACCATCATCAGTGTAATAAAGTTTGTGATATTGTTGTTCGAAAAATTAAAAAAAGATAGTTACAAACTCAACATACGGAAAATGCCGTGATATTTCTTAATAACTGTATATACGACAGTCTAATCCATATATATATATATATATGTTCGGTTGAAGATTACACCCCATTTTGCAGTTAGAAGTTTTTTAAATAAAATTTCAACAACACGAAGCTGTTTATCTGAGAACCTCATACCAAATTGTATATATATATATATATATATATATATATATATATATATATATTTACATATACATATATATATATACATATATATATTTGCTTGTAGAAAACCGAATTCTTCACAATATGTAATAATTCCACCGATTTATTAGTGTTTATCTATAGCCCCTCTATGGTACTTAGTACTTAGACTTGGAACGCTCAATGTTGAATCACTGAAGTCATTTTTCATTTCTTCTGATTCGCCTGTCTAGTGCGTATGCAGAAAAAATAGTCATTGCCAATAGTCATAATCCATATATATATATATATATATATATATATATATATATATATATATATAATATAAAGAGTTACATTAAAAGCAAAATGTTACCTTGTAATGCAGATGAAATTAAATAATTAGTGAAATAAGTTATAGTTTAATATTAAAATAAATAAATAGATGCATATTTACGTAAAACAACTAGAGTAATTTAAAACAATACAGCGGTAAGTAAAAATGTAAGATAAAACGAGTGTATGTGTGGAATTTGCACGAGGTATGCAGTTTTATTTTATTTAGTTGAACGGACAGTATGAATCCATATTATCGAAATGGATATAGGTGTTGTGCATGTGTAGGAAAGTATCACCACAGTTTTATTTTATTTAGTTGAACGGACAGTATGAATCTATATTATCAAAATGGATATAAGTGTTGTACATGTGTAGGAAAGTATCCAATGAATATGAAAGTATGCATGATAAATGTGTATACACATGTGTAAAAACAGTATTAATATTAAATATCAAATAGTGGGGCCAGCGACGTAACGACTGATGTTTCAGGACGTCGGGTCAAAAAATGCGCATTAGCCGGTTTGAATGCATCCAAAGTCGAACAATACTCGTATCGTTGTTGTGCGCATTGACGACATGGATCTTCATCGAAAACGACAGTGAGTGTGGTCTTGAACAAGATGAGATCAAGCTACAGTGGAAAGCATATTTCAACTGTCTGTTAAATGAAACAAATCCCATCAATGTCAACTTTGATGCTCCACCCGTCGAAGGTCCGACTCCAGACATCACTGTAGAGGAGCTTACAGAAGCTCTGAAAGCTGTGAAGGATGGAAAGGCAGCAGGGCCCTCTGGACTCACAAATGACATTATCAAAGCATCTGGTACTGCAGGTATCCAAACGTTACTACAACTTTGCCGTGAAATCTGGAAAAATTGCTCAATGCCGACTGAATGGAACCATAGCATGACAGTCCCGCTATACAAAGGCAAAGGTGATCCATTGAAATGTTCTTCATATCGGGTATACGTCTGTTAGAACATTGAGAGAAAATTAACGTCGTGCATCACAATCTGAAATTATTAATTTGATTTCCTAACGGGGAAATCAACAATTGATGCAATTCACATCCTTCGGCAACTGCAAGAGAAGTACCTCTCAAAGCATCAACAACTATAACACATTTTTCTAGACCTTGAAAAAGCCTTTGATCGAGTTACCCGTGAAGCATCCAGGTGGAGTCTACGTCGACAACTCATTTCAGAATATCTTGTTCGAAATGTATACGAATACTAAGACTCTCGTCAGCACAACGGTTGGAAACACACATCCCACTACCACTACGATCAAGACTTTATAAATCTGTGATACGTCCGGTCTTTTTATATGGTGCAGAAACATGGCCAATGACAACCAAACTGGAACAACTTTAACGAACCTATATGAAAATGCTCCGATGGATGCAACGAATTAGTCTGAAGAACCACATCAAATCTACCGAAACTCTGCGTCGTGCTGGTTTAGATGATATAAAGGACGAATGCCGGCAACACCGTCTGAAGTAGTTTGGTCATGTCAAACGAAGTGGAAACAGTGCCATAACTTCTCATGCAGATGTTGAAGTACCTGGCACACGTCCCAAAGGCCGTCCAAAGTAGTCCTGGTCGCAAATAATCGAGCAACTGATCGCCTAATTTGGCGCAAAAAATTGATGGCAAAGAAAACAACGTCCTACCTCGGGAAAACTAGGTCTCTGGACGCTAAAAGATGATTGGTTGATATTTATAAATTATATTTATAAATGACTGCGGTTATTTTTTTTCTAAATTTAAATGAAAAAAATGTCAAAGCTAACAAATTTATTTTTTTTTGTATAATGATTTAATAATGTATTGGTAATATGTAATCATATTCGTTAATGTTTATGACAATTTGAAAAAAAATTTTTAAAAGTTGTCTAAAATTTTTAAGAAAGCATTATTATTTAAATATTCTGCCATATCTAATCTTTAATCACGTTCCTTTCTCTTATTTGTCTTATTGTTGTTTGATTATTTCGCCATCTCTAATCGCGTCGCTTTGTCTTATTTTAAAATGGCGTACCCATCAGTTGCTGATCTGAAGATGGCACTACATTCCATTATAGAGGACGCTATAAGATAGGTGCGGAGGAACATGGTTTGTTGGCCGGACATAAAACCTTTCAGTGTGGCTCCAACATGTCCTTCGTGAAATTCAAAAAAGCACCAAAAGCAAAATACGTCTAAGGAAATGCATATTGGTTAGTATAACAACAACATCAACGCAGTCACTGGACTAGTCCACCAGACAGTAAATCACTCAGTGACTTTTGTGGACACCTAATGGTGTCTACACCAATGGCGTTGAAAATTTGTGGCGTTGTGCCAAACAGAAATTTAAGCGGACGGTTGGTACATGCGATGCACATCTTTCATCATATCTTGATGAACTTATGTGGCAGTGCAGTATCAAGAACCGTAATCAACGGTTCGAAAGAGCTTTACAGCTCACCCGTACATATTATCCAGTTTAACGTTTGATGATACTGTTCCATTATTTATTATATTTTATAACACTAACATTATATACTGTATATTTTGTCGTAAAAGTTAAGAGACTTGATTATATCTTGCGTAGGTATGTCTTTTAGTCAGAAAAAAATGTATGTAAAAAAAATGAAAGTGTGTTCAAATGAAAAGTAACAAATTTTAAAAGGTCAGAGCTATAAGGCGTGCGAATTCGCACGGCAAACACGCCGTTGGGATACTATAAGGCGTGAGAATTGGACATGTTAAATGTTTCTGTCTCTTTTGCGTTTGCTTCAGAGTTTGCATATGATAGGCGGGGATCTTTTTGTATTCGAACCCAATCATTGCAATAGCAAAACCAGGCGCCTTTAACCATTGAGCCATCACGCGACGTTATAAAAGCGTGAGAGGCCGGACAGCGACTTGGTCGGTAAGATGCTATAAGGCGTGAGAATCGCACGGCGAATTAGACGTTGAAAGGCTATAAGGCGTGAAAAGCCCGCACGGAGAATTGGATTTTATAAGTCGTGTGGAATCCGCGCGACGATTTTGACGTTGAGATGCTATAAGGCGTGGGAATCACGAGCGGGTGAATATGACATTTAGACGATGAAAGCGTGAGAATCGCACGACGAATTCGACATTAAGATAATGATAATAATGTCATTTTGTATAGCGCCATGGCTGAGGCGCATTGTCATTATTACAACAAACACACGGTGCACGAATCAACGCATCACACACTTTTGCATGTGATAGGCGGGGATCTTTTTGCATTCGAACCCGGACACTGCATCAACAATGCCAGGCACCTTAACCATTACACCATCGCGTCGTTCAATTTGTATTTCTTGCCATCGTATGTTAATAACTGTTGTTATAAAGTAGTTTAATGATCCTAGAATTGATGAAGCGCCTGCTAGGTGAAGCGAAAAAATAGCTAGGCCTACTGATGGTCCTGAATGGGCTAAGTTGGCTGCTAATGGTGGGTGTACTGTTCATCGTTTTCCAGCATTCTTTTCTACTAGTGCTGATGTAACTAGTAGAATTAATGATGGGGGTAAAAGTCAGAATCTAAGGTTATTTAGTCGTGGGAATGCTATTATCTGGTGCTACAATTACCTTTGTATCATGTATATATCTATCATTAGGAATTACAGTTTTCCATAGGCTAAGATTCACGATATATGTGTTATGATCACCATTAAACAGGACACCATACAATAAATTAGAGGAGCCTGGTGTTAGATACTAAATATAATTTATGAAATTTACTAAATATATCTTTATATATTTGGTAATATGTGAATTCGAATTTATGCTATGCTAGGATCTGCATCCTAAAATCTATGAGATTAATACATCTTTTCTCTGATCCAATATTTGATCACAAATGATTTAATAACTCTACTATATTCATCTTAGTTATCTACTATAAAAACTCTAAGTTTTTAGCTGCTGGCATAATTACAGCTATAACAAACCGTATTGGGAATATAATAAACCTTCTATCAATTGGCATAACTTTAAAGGACAGGTTTTCCTAATTGAATAAGACACCGCCAAATTCTTTGGTGTTTAAACTGTTGTTCTTCCGACTCTTATGGTAGGCTATTAATAGAAGGGTATCTAATCCTTGTTTTTATAAATAAAATCCTAATGTTTCTAATTAGGAGTAAGTCATAGACTCACTTATATGCCTTATTGAGGACAACTGCTGCTACAAGACATAGTATCCCCAGTAATATTACAACTAACATTATTTCACGACCATGTATTAATAATTATAACACTTGTGTTAACAGAGATAAGAATAGAAATTATAAGTCGTGAGGAAACCGCATGCCGACTTCGACGTTGAGATGTTATAATTGCTATAAGGCGTAGTCTTTGTCTTAACACATGAACAGTAGTACCAGTTTATGCAGCCATCACACTGCTCCCACAAAGTACAAGTTTGGTTGTCTCTCCCAGACTAATGTACAAACAACACAAACATACAAATTTTGTCCAATCGACCCCATCTTATTTTTTTAATTTTACCCATGCTTCATTGAAAATATATAGTTTCATGGTCAAAGTCATCTGTGTACTTTTGATCAATTGAAGTTTTGCAATCCATTTGAACACAGTTTTTGGTTCTTTCTTTGGGTAAACTGAGTTGATCCTGCACAGACAGACAATTTTTCAAACGCAAGTTTACGTTGTTGGAGCAGTTGCTGTTTCCTTTTGGTTGGACTTCTTCTCCCTTGATAGCAACAGGATACCAAATGACAAGTGATTGTACCATTATCGTCAACTAAAATTTCACTTGTTACACCAGGCAACCAGAGCGCGGCCATCAGCTTCTCTTCCGGGGTTCCAGTGAACCTGGCATCATGAAATATAATCTCAAATGCAATGAAATTCATGTTAAAATATATAACGATTTACCTCGTTTGTTACAAGCGGTGGGTTTGCACCAGTATCTAACATATTTTTAGCTTGCTTCAAAGCAGCTTCTGTTAGGCGTTGGTTATCTGCATATAGTACGAATACAGATGCATCTACATCATGTTTGTTTGCCAAAACATTTTCTTAACAATGAATTCCTAAATTTTTAAAAAGCCATAACAAAATTTGCTATAAAAATTTACCATTTCATTATTAGATATTTTATTTTAATTTTTTTAAATATTATCACAATCAATGAACAACAATAAACAAAATTTAAATATTGATAGTATCACTATTAGTACCTTCAGATTTTGCAGTACCAGTTTGTTCAAATAAGCAGATGGCTTTATTTTTCCATAGTGCTTCCAAACCCACCTACCTAATCAATGCAGCAACTATTGACAATTATACAAAAATTAAAATTTTATAAAAAATATATAAATTATTTATAAAAATTGAAGTTAAGGCTTGAAAATAATTTTAAAAGATAAAAGCAAATTTTATTTAATTTGAACAATTGACCAAATCTTCACAAACCTCGCTGCTCACAACTGAAAGAAAAAGGAAAATGAATTCTTGCCAAAGATAATAAATATTATTGAAATTACGATGCGCAAATAAAATTTTTAAAAAATTATTTAAAAAAAATTTATTTTCAATTGTAAGTAACAGAAATTCTTACAAATACTTTTTAAAATAATATTCGGCCTAAAAAATGTGCATGGCTTATAGCAGCACAAAATCATGGTCAGATTTAACGAATTTTAAAATAAAAACGATTTTTATGCATCAATCCAAAAATATAGACGTTTTTGAAAGTTTAAAATATATTTTTTTAATTTAAATGTTTCATTGCCCATCAAACTTATTAAATCAAGTTTATTAAAAGCGTTAATGGTAGTTTAAAAGACCATTTATTTTACATTTTTATTTCCAGTCCACTTTTAAAACATGACCATTTAATTAATTTAATATTAAGCTCCAACCACAATTTAAAAGCCATTTTGTAAACATTAGTGATGAGATACCAATCTAACATTCTATTGCAGTATCTATCGATATTCTAAAAATCTAAATCTATAATAAGCTATACCACTGTCTCTACGCTGTAGTCTAACCTAGCCTGTCTAACAAAACTACTAACAACACACGTACACGCACGATTTTGAAATTTCAAATTAGCTATTTTAACGATAGATAGCTAACCTTGTCCATAATTTTTCTGTTCAAAAAATAAAAATAACAGCTATTCAAATCACTACTCAGTACATTGAAATCAAATTAGGCTGCTTGATTAAAAATAAAACTGTAATCAAGGAAAACATAATACGTTGGTTACGATAACATAGGCTGATTACGCTAAAATAGGAATTAAAATACATGTGGAGCACCAGACGTATTTATCACTTCCGTTAAACATCTGCAAGGTGACAAGAAATTATTGATTTTTTTTTTTTAGAAAACACATCTATGATTTATTCACACTGTATACCTCAAACAATTTGTAACTTTTGTTTGTTTGCTATTTATTTGCTCATTTAATTTAATTATTTATCAAATTATTATAACAATTATTATTATTATTATTATTAATTATTATTATTAACGGGGTTTAAAGTGGTTCAGAAGACTATGGTCTGTGTAAGAACTACTACTAATTAGATCTCCTAATATCCTATCTGTCCGAGTTTGGCTTTGAAGCTGTTGAGTGAATTCGCAGACTGCATCATCGCCTAGCTCGTTCCAGGCGTTGACCACTCTACTGCTGAAGAATCTGCTCTTTATTTTTCTATCCAAGTTTTTGAAAATCTTAAATCTGTGTCCTCGTAGTTCATCACTGTTTACTAGCCTGAAAAATCTCGAGTATGGAGTTGTTTCCCTATTCGTGATCAATTTATATGTTTGGATTAGATCTCCTCTACATCTTCTTTTTTCCAATGATGTCAAGTCGCATTTTTTCAATCTCTCATCGTATTCCATTTTTCCGATTCCTCTAATCATTCTTGTGGCTCTACGCTGTACTTTTTCCAAAACTTCCTTATCTTTCTGCATATATGGGCTCCATGCTTGAACACAGTACTCCAGATGAGGTCTGACCAGGGTTTTATACAGTTTCAGTATAATATGCTTCTCTCTGCTGACCATTGTTCTTCTTATAAATCCCAAGATCGTATTGGCTCTGGCCGCTGCAGCTGTACATTGTCTTGACGGTTTTGTGCTTTGATGAACAATGATTCCTAGATCCTTTTCTTCCTCTGTCGATCGTAGTTCTCTTTCACCAATTTTATATTCATATCTAGCGTTCTTCCTCCCTAAGTGCATGACTGCACATTTGTCAACGTTGAAAAGCATTTGCCAGTCCTTGGACCATTGGTACAGTCTTGCTAGGTCTTTTTGCAATATTTCTGCATCTTCATCGTTGTTGACTTTCCCACATAATTTGGTATCATCTGCAAACTTTGAAATCTTAGAGACTATTCCTTCGTCGATGTCGTTAATGTATATCACAAATAATAGCGGTTCCAATACCAATCCCTGAGGCACGCCACTTGTTACATCTATCCATCTCGAGTTTATTTCTTTTATCCGCACTTGTTGTCTCCTATCTTTCAGCCAATTTTTTATCCATTGTAGCAGATTTTCTTCTACCCCACATGCCTGTAACTTTTTGGATAACCTTTTATGTGGCACCTTATTGAATGCTTTTGCAAAATCTAAATATATTACGTCTACCGAGTTATTCTGGTCTAGGTTAGCATAAACATCTTCAAAAAAATCCAATAGGTTAGATAGACAGGATCGTCTTTTCATAAAACCATGTTGGCTGTCATTGATTATGCAGTTAGAATTTAAGTGCTCGACTATATTCTTCTTGATAATTTTTTCTAATATTTTACATTTAATGCAAGTTAAACTAACTGGTCTGTAGTTACTAGTTTCGCTTCTACGTCCTTTTTTGAACAATGGCGTGACGATAGCGTCTCTCCAATCCCTTGGTATATCTCCTGATCTTAAAGAGTCATTAAATATTTCGCACAGTGTGGCTCCTACTTCATGTCTTATTTCCTTTAAAAATTTTGGGTGCAGCTCATCTATTCCTGGAGTTTTATTCTCTTTGAGACTGCCTAATATTTCGACAACCATCTCTTCTGTTATGTAAACACTTGTAAGCATCCTTTCTTGGCTTCCCCCAAGCAATTTTTTTGGCTCCTTTATGTTATTTGTATTTTCTTTTGTCAGCACCGATCCAAAGTAGTTATTGAGCATCTCAGCCATTTCTTTTTCTTCCGTTACAATGTTGCCATGATCAGTTTTCAGAGGCCCCACTTTATCTTTCCTTTTTTGTTTACTTCCCATGTAACTGAAAAAGCTTTTACTGTCTTTACTTATGTTCTCACTTAGCTTTTCTTCATATTCCTTTATTGCTTTCCTGTTTGTTGCCTTTGCTAGATTTCTCTTTCTGATGTATTTATCCCTTGCTGCTTCTAACTCACTTTTTGAGATATCTTTAGCATTTCTGAGATATCTCTGTCTTAACTCCTGCATCTTCTTCCATGCTTTAAATTTTGATCTTCTTGTTTTCTGTACATTTTTATTTATCCACGGTAGCTTTTTGTTGCTTCTCCGGATAGTCGGTATAGTTTCTTCAACAACCTTTATTCATACAGAACACAAAGGTTTTCTATTTATTTTGCACTCCCAAATCTTTCAATCGCTCTGCCAAGTTCATCTCTATGATTTTATTTCTGACCTTGACGTAGTTTGCTTTGAAATATTTGTAGCGCTTTGAATAAGCTTCGTCTTATTTTTTCTGCTCTAACACTATGTTGAATCTAAGTATCCTATGATCGCTCGTTCCAAATTCTTCTCCTACCCTAACTTCTTCTATTAAGTTCTCTTCTGCTGATATTATTAAATCTAATATATTTTCTCCCCTTGTTGGCTCCATCACATGCTGAGTAAGGAAGTTTTCGTCTATGCAGTCCAGAAACAGTTCGTCTACCAGCTTTTTGCCTTCTCTATGATTCCAGTCAATATGGTGGTTAAAGTCTCCCATTATTACGCAAGGCACTTTTGTGGCATTTCTGATCAGTTCACGTAATCCGCTGTCATTCTCTTTTGTTGAATCTGGTACTCTGTAGCATACTCCTACACGCAGTGTTTAAGTATCGTTCTTTATATCACACCAAACAATTTCTTTAAATTTGTCGTTTTTCAGGTCTTTTCTTTCCAGTGCAGTCAGTTTTTCGTTTATGTACAATAACACTCCGCCACCCTGTCCTTTATCTTTACTGTGTTCCCTGTCTTTTCTAAACATTACGTATCCGTTCAGTTCTATCTCACTATCTTGAATTGATTCTTTCGCCCATGATTCAGTTATACCTATGATATCGGGTTGTTCATTCTCTATATATAACTCCAGTTCTGTTCTTTTATCAATATTTACAATACTTCTTGTATTCACACAGAAACATTTTAAAATTTCAGGTTTGTTTTTTTTCTTTTTTATTGTTGCTTTCTCTGCGTTGTCACCCGTTGTATTTAATATTTCTTCAGCTTTACAATTCTCATGTCTCCTGGTAGACCTTTCACCTTGAAAATAAATTCCCCCGATGTTTCTTTGCTTTGCCTAATTTTTGACTCCTTCACTAGCTCTCTGCATTGGTCTCTTTCTGTTTTTGTCGTATCGTGCGTCACCGATGTCCTTCTAAAATTTTCATCCGCATTTCGGAGTTTTTACAAATTTTCTAAAACTCTGTTTTTCAGTGTTCCATCGAGAAATCCTATCAAAAGAGGTCATCCATTTTCTCCTTCTTTGATTTTTCCAAGTCAAAACACACTTTTTATATCCGTATTCTCGCACGGAATCTTTAACACTTCATTAAAAAGAAACGTAACAGATTTTCTGTCAGCCGTATTTTTCTCTTTTGCTTCTGACGCGTTGTTTTCTGTCAATTTATGGATGACGATGTTATTTCTTTTGCGTTCTTTTCGTTTTCCTTCTTCTGCATTTAGTTCCACTTTCTCTTCGACACTTTTGACTGTTTCTTGCACAACTTTCAACTCTTTGTCCACACTCTTTCTGACAACTGTGGTCCATGTCTCTTTGTTGGCTTCAACCGTTTTCTTGATATTTTTTTCATCTGTTTTTTTTTATTTTTTGCAGTTGCTCTTCAATTTTGTCTAGACGTGATTTCTGTTCTTTAAACTGCTTTTTCACAAATTCATTTTCGCTTGTTGATTTTTTATTGCTTAGAAGCTCTACAAGCTGTTGTTCGAGTTGGGCGATCTTATCATGCTGTTCATTATATTTTCTGTCTAATTCTTCCAATTTACAGCATGTTTTGCAGTCCGAGCCCACAAAACTTTCACCCACACCATACATTTCATATTTATCGCATTTCTTCATACCTTTACACATTTTCTGGCTTCCAAAATTTTGACACGTGCTTAACTAACCTTGTTTTTGCTTATTATCGCTTCTCCAATTATTCTTTCTTGAAAGTCTTTGCTTTTTTCTGTCAAAAAAAACTTTTTCAACAATGAGAATAGTAATAATCACAATTTGATTAAAAACTTCAAATTAAAACGATTTTATTGCAAAAAATTTATCGAAAAAATTTGTTTACAACCGATCGGCACCATAGAACATAGAATTCTTAAATTTGAACATTTTATATGAAGATAACCCATATATCTAGAATAAATATAATGGCCTTCGCCCACTTTCAACGGTCGAACAAGAAACTTACTTCCGGAGGGGAGTTGGAGGGTGATTTTTTATCGTTCGAGTCAATAGCAAGGGAAGGCCTATTTACCAATATACAACACTTTCTTATGAGTTGAAGCAGTGATATGCAATGAACCTCAATTTTTCAACTTTTAATTATTTTCGGTAATGTCGATTTTATTTTTTTAAATTTATACTCAATAAAAGTAATTAATTACCACATTGAATAATAATTTAAAAAAATTTAAATTTAAAACATTTTAAATAAAAGCAATATTTTGAAATTAGTAAATATACGATCGTTAATTTTGACTCGAACGATAAAAAATCACCCTCCAACTCCCCTACGGAAGTAAGCTTCTTGTTAAACCGTTAGAAGTGAGCGAAGGCAGTTTTATTTATTTAGTTATATCGTCAAAAGTTACGATCGTATATTTATTATTAATTACAAAATATTGCTTTTATTTAAAATGTTAAAATTTTCGTTTACAGGACATGTTGCACTAAACACCAGAGTACGTTTAGCCATTATTTATTAACTGTTGCTAAGCAATTTTATTGCTATAAAGAAATATTTTCAGATCAAAAAATGTATTAATTAACATTAACAATAACAGCCATTAACCAAAGACCACGTTCTTGCAAAACAATAGCACCAACTTGCTTCACTTGTTTCACACCTTTCTGACAACAATTTTGCTCGGACGATTTATTGTAATAATTAATTCTTGTTTCATCGATGTTGTAGATATCCTCTAAAGCAAACACAAAACATTCATGAACTACTGAAAAGTTATCAAAAATGCGGACATATATCTATTGAAGCTTATTGCCCGAGTAATAGATGTTGCCTCAGATTTTTTGACTGAAAGGTGAAAGTGTCTTCATGGTATTTCGTCAAGCAAACATTCTTCACCAGTAAAAACGCATTTCTTGGCTGAATGTAACCAACAAAGAAATTTGATAATGCAGAATTCTGAGCGTTGTTGTGACATTGTTTAGATATTGTTAAAAATACTTTTTACAATATCTAAACAATGTCACACCGACAGACACTTAGGCATAGATACTAATGCCTCTAAGGCCTCTCTTACGGTAACCAGCATTATATCCAGAGGCGAATTTAGACAACTTTGACGGGAAGAGTCAAGAAACTAACCAAATTTGCGAAACGGGACAAAATAAGACTGGTGGTAATGTTTTTTTTTGCTTTTCACGTTGATTTTTGGTTGACTTTCATCTTAAAACAGTGTTTCCTGATTAATAATTGACGTTTCTTGAGTTTTATTAAAAATACTGCACACAACGTTTTCATACTGTCTTTCGCTGTCAATATCTGACCATTCTAATAGATCCTACTTCAAAAACACTTAAGTTTTGGACTAAAATAAATAAGGCTCATCTTCTTTGGTCTCCTTTTCTTCATCGATAGCATCATATTCTTCTTTGTCACTATTTACGATGCTAGTTTTTATTACTTCTTTGTTTTCGTTGTTGGTTAAGCGCCGGGTTGGAAGTGAGGTTGTCATTTTTTGTTGTATATTTATTTTTGGTTTATTGATGTCGATTAGGACTGCTTGTGCAATTTTAAGATGCGTGTAGTTGCTGTTCTGGTATATTACTTTGGTGTTGTTGTCGAGGATTTCACGGCTAATTGTGATTGAGTGTGTTGAGTCCAAATGAGATTTGATAGCACCACTCTGTTTATGCATCGTAAGCCTTCTAGTCAGTGAGGTAGTAGTAATCCCGATATATGAGTCATGTTGACGTGCACAGCCGTCAAAGGGGCAATTAAATTCATATATTACGTGATTACGCTTTAACTTAGAGTAAATAGTGACAAAGAAGAATATGATGCTATCGATGAAGAAAAGAAGACCAAAGAAGATGACCAGCCAATTAAGAAACCTGACACCTAATTCGCATCAAAGTTCAATTTTACAACACCAAAGTTAATTTTTACAACATCAAAGTTAATCTTGACAAAGTCAATATTTCCCTATATATACAACAAGGAGCACTGACGATGATTCATTCGGAATCGAAATATGGCCTTATTTGCAGCATGAATTCGAAAAATAAGTTTATTTTGAATTTTAATAAACTAAACGTTCACCAAAAAACTTTAGTGAGAAAAATCGAAAAAACGAACTACAAACATATTAACGCCAAACATTCGGTAGAATTTATAGAATATTGTAAAAATTATGGTCTATTACCAACACACACATATATATATATATATATATATATGTGTGTGTGTGTGTGTGTGAATGTTTTTGATGTTGAGCAAATTTATGTTGGAGTAGTAATGGCTAACGTGACACCTTAAAGGGAGATCTTGAAGTATGTGTACAAATCGATTTTGACATTTTTACAATCTGTTTAAGATAAGTATCTGGGCTATTTTTCCAAAAGATGTGGCAATATGTTAAATGGGGATATACGAGTGCATAGTAGAAATCTATGAAAATGTCGTAGTTGATTGTTGATTTAATTTTATAGAATACACCTAGAGATTTATTAAGTTTTTGAGCTATGGTATTGATGTGTGGTTCACAAGAATGTCCGTCAATGGTAATGTTGAAGTCAAGTACTAAATTCGTTATTATTGTGGGTCCGAACAGAATATAACAACATTTATTATTATTAATTTGTTAAAAGCAAACCAATCAGCAATTAATTCTAAAGTTTTATGTATTGTCTGTACATTTTCTTTTGGTTTCTTAGTAGAAAAAAGTATGTTGGTGTCGTCTGCGTACAAAATAATTTATTTAAAATGTTAAAATTTTATATTTTTAAATTGTTATTCAAGGTGGTAATAATTACTTTTATTTGGTATAAATTGAAAATAAAATCGACATTACCGAAAATAATTAAAAGTTAAAAATAATTGAGGTTCTTTGCATATCCCTTCTTCAACCCATAAGAAAGTGTTGCATGTTGTAAATAGGCCTCCCCTAGATTTTTATTCAATTTGTAAATTTTTTAACCGAAGGGCCTTAATTTTTTTCTATATGTAATTTTCAATGATATTCTAATATTTATTTTTATTTTTTTTTAAATGTTATAAACATGAGAAATATTTGTAATTTTATTTGCAAATTATATTTTATTAGAAAAAGAAAACAGAAGTATCTAATAATAGTTAATAAAAAAAGTGTCAAAATTTTAAACCACATAATAATGTCGAATAAGTTCCAAAGCTTTCTAGAACAGCTTTTTTCTATCTGCGATGGTGTGCAGCCACATAAACTCAGCAAGGTATGATGGTGAGCATCGCACGTACCATTCATTCTTTTACATTTTTGTTTGGCGCATCGCCACAAATTCTCCACTCCATTTGTGTGCACTGCGTTTACTGCCAGAAATGTAATGGAGTAATTCACAGTTTGGTGGCTTAGACCGGTTATGTTTGTTATGGTGTTATAAACAGTCCATTGATCCGTTCAAACTGTTGTACCTAAAATTATTAAAATCGAACTATATTTCATAACCAACCAAAATAAATTTTTAAAACATTAAACTTTTTCGCTGTATCAATGGCAACAACGTGGCAGCATCTCGTCCATCTACTTTCACCAGAAAGACATCCTACGTTTGCGTATTGATGCCTCTAAAAACCCAGCGTGCCTTAACTGGGTGTGCATCCTGGTTCCTCGACCTCTTTGCATGTAAGATGCAGCTTACAGCATGCAAGGCAATAGTATAAAATGATAACGAAAAATAATTAACGGAAAAAAATTGTTTGAGCATGAAAAGTATGTAAACCTCATGTCTGCAAGACAGTGGCATGTCATCGTGGCTGCTATCAAACCGTTCTGTTTTGCCCACCTCTCAGCATCTTCTGTGTTTAAAATACTACGTATCAGATCAACCATTTTCATTCCTTTCTCTAAGAGCCATTTTTAACATAAATCAACAATAAATTTTTATTAATGAAAAATAGAAATAAATGCAATTGAAGAATTGAAGAGGAAACGAAGGTAATGTTCGCGAACGAAGGTAATGTTCGCGACGGTTTTGGTGTATCTATCAGGCAGAACCAAAATTGTCAAATTGGCTGAAAAATACAAATGTAATGTTCGCCACGGTTTTGGTGCATCTAACCGGCGGACTCAATCATGTCAAATCGGCTGAACGGATTGATCTAATAAATTTTCGTTTAATGAAAATACACGGAATTATTAAAAATTTATTTTATTACATAAGAATCTGCGTCTCGTTATTATTTTGAAAACGATACATAACGATACGATAACAATACGATAACGAGGTATTGAAGACTATATATTGATATAATAAAATCATCTGCACAAGTATGTGCACAAATTGTATGATGATTTTTGAGTTTTTGAAAGATAGTATTTAAACATCGCGCAATAACAATGACGCTTGGCACATTTACAGTCTGCCCTTAGTTGTTTTCCCGCCAACTCCGCTTTACAAAATGTACTGTATTAAAACAGAAAAAAGTTAAAGGTCAATTACACTCTTCCAAAGTTCAGAGGATTCAACAGAGTGCAAAACATCATAAATGAACATTACACACGAAGCATATGGTACGCGGGGATATTTTTGTCACATTCGAACCCGGTTACTGCGAAACAGCACCAGGCGACCTTAACCATTAGACTATCACGCCGCCCAGTCATTTCGCCCAGAAAACAGCCATTCAATTGAAAAATTAA